AGAGAGAGAGAGAGAGAGAGAGAGAGAGAGAGAAAGAACCCAAAGGACTTGGCCCTTGTGTAGGAAAATGAAGCGAGTTAAGGAAGACATCCAAGTTTCAGGGTAGAACTATTTGGTTGAGGATGCTATTGGGTTGTCGGAAAAGTCATGACGCATTTTTGCAATGAAAAACAAAAAATACGTCATGACTTTTCCAACAACCCAATATTGGCAAAGTTAGTGAACACTCGAGTGGGTTTTATGAAAAGCTAAACGTTGGGCATCCGTGGTGCCAGTAGGTTGGCCAGGTGGAGAATCTGATAAGCACATGGATATAACTAGAGCTTGAGAGAGAGATCTCAGCTAAAGTAGAGATATAGGAACAAACAGTCTCTATCAATGGCTATTAAAGCCATCTAGTGGATGAGGTCACTGAGGGGAGATATATATAGTGTTTTCAAACTTCAGCTTATATCAGTATCAGTCTGGGGAGTTTATTTAAAATACAGACTCTGCTCCCCCCATTCTGATTCAGTAGATGAGATCACCTAAAAATCACCTGCATTTTTCATAAAAGTGGTGATTCCGTGGTACCACTTTGAGAAACAGTAGTGTTCAATGTGCCAAGCAATGGACAGTGTCTCAGAGGAATAGGAGCGAAAAAAGATAACCAAGAAAGGAAGACAAAAAGTATGAGACTCTAGCCCTTGTTTTTTTAGTGGACAGTTCTGAATGATGACCTGGTCCAGTTTTAACAATCCTGACCTTGAATGAGAGTGTTTGGCTGAAGTGGAATGAAGGTGAAGGTCAATGGTAGGGCTGTCCATAAGGACACTGACGTCACCTAGAGCTTGAAGATTGGTTTTCAAGTTGCTGAAGATTTAACTGAATGTGGAGGATTGACCAGAGGCTAATAGAGGAGTGTTGGAGGAACAGGGATAGAATTGTAGTGGTTTAGAATTATCACTGGGGATCAAGAAGGCTAAAGATCCTACCCCTAAGTATTGTTACACTCTGTTGGAATTTTAAAATAAAGCTGCCTAGCACTAGGAGTAGGCCAAGATGGTCCCATGCCCAAGAGTTATCTACTATAGAGGCAGCTATGTGCTCAGAATCTGTAGCGGGTATACAAAGATGGTTCATGTCCTCCGTAGGAAGCCCACATCTTAGCTGAAAAGACAGAAGAGAAACAAATCCAATGGGATTGTATCATATACGTGTATGTGTTTAGCTTATGGGAATTAAGATGACTTAAAAACTTGAGTAATTAATGATTGTCCTTTTTATGTACTGTTTGTTATTAGGCACATTTCCATGTATATACTATACAGTATTATGTCCTATTCTTTATAGGCAGTTTAAAGGATTTTTTCCCAAGGGCGATTTTGACCAATCTTTTTTTCAAGTTGCTGCCTTTAGAACCAGACTTTACATAAAATGAGTTACCACGATCTGTAGTGATCATTGCTCTATTAATAGAGGTATGTGCAAGGTGCTGTGGGAGCTCCAACAAGAGAGTAGTGTTCTGCCTGGGATGGTCAGAGAAGGGTTCACAGAGGAACAGATATTACACTTGAGCACTTTAAGGATTGGTACAGGTTTGCTAGAGAAAGAGGCAAGACTACAATTGGATGGCCAGCTGTCTGAGTTGATTGTATGGTTGGACTAAAGACTTCTAAGGTTTCTTTAAGCTCTAAAGTCCTTTACTTTTCCTCTTCATTTACATGCCCTCTTGATTTTTTTTTTTTCTATTCCTTTAGTCTTTCCAAAATTCCCTTGGTGGGCAGGATGGTCATGAAGATGTTTTAACTTGATTCACTTTCCTCAGGAGCAAGCCTGGCTTGAGGCTGCCCAGGCCTTCATCCAAGAGACCCTGTGTCCATCTGGCGAGGAGTCTGATGTGCATTTGACTCAGTGCGTAATTGATTGTGTGAAGACTACCTGGTTGTCCCAGGGAAGGAACCTGGGTTTTACACTGCCCCTCAGCTACAGGTAAGGAGAGGTGGAGTTCAGGGGGAGTTCAATATGGTTTTGAAAAGAAAGGACTTGAGAAGAGCGAGGGGAAACTTGCTAAGGGGAGGAAGAGGTGGTGTAAACGCAAACTCCTTCTGCCAAACTTTCCCATTCTCCATAAAACTGCTTTTCTTTTCCTGTAGTTCTCTGAAATTTACTTAAGTGGAGTTTAGAAACAAAGAGAAGAAGAGAAAGGACAGGAGAAGATTGAAAGAAAATTGGGAAAAAACTCCAAGTGGGGAGAGAGGCTGACACTATTTCATTTTATGTATTAGGAAACTGAGATTCACCAAGTGCTGATAGTTGTGTTTAAAAAGACCTGAATGGTCTTCTGAAGGTATTTTTGTTTTTTTAAAACTATACTACCACTTCCTAAATTGTTCTATGCAATATTAAGAAAGTACCACAAGAAAAGGGCTCCATGGCTAAATAAACTTCAGAGACATTGGATATGATAAACTTCTCTAGGAGAGTCATGAGGTTCATTAACATATTAAAGGGTCAGAAAAATCCTGCAAAAAGAAACCTATTTAACCTCAGAGAAGTATCCGTTGTCTTGAATATGGGGTGTATTATTCTTGTGGATATTTTTATGTTTTTACTATACATGCAATATACAGTAGAGTTTTGCATACCTTTAGACTTTATATAAATAGTACCATACCTTATATGTCCTTTGCAATTTGCTTTTTGTACTTCTGAGATTTATTCATATTGACAGCTCTAGCTCATTTATTTTGACTGCCCTGTGATATTCTATTATGTGAGTATACTTACCACTGTGTATTTATCTTTTAAAAAAGAAAAAAGGTAGAAATTTGTTTAGCTTTGTTTAATTTGTCTTTTCCCAAACTTATTTCAGCACAGGTTATTTTTCCCCCTGGCACTCCCTTAACCTGCTTATAGCAGTTTGGGAAACACTGCACTCAGCCTGGCAACCTATCTCAGTCATTGAAGGCAAGGGATCTGTGGTGAGAAGACAGCTAATTTGTATTCCATGTTATCCAAAACACTATTTTCAAAATTCTTTGTAATTTTCTCATCCATGGACTTCATTATAAACCAATGGTAAACAACAAATGTTGGTGGGAATGTAAGTTAGTGTAGCCACTATGGAAAACAGTATAGAGGTTTCTCAAAAACCTAAGAATAGAACTACCGTATTTGCCGGCGTATAAGACGACCCCCTAACATTTCCACTCAAAATACAGAGTTTGTTATATACTCGCCGTATAAGACTACCCCCTCTTCTGCACACCTTCCACACA